TTCTTTGTTCAGGAGAAGCTGGGTAAATCACCATTACTGTGGAACCGGTGGGGGGTTAGAAAATTTTACTACTAACAGAGATACAAAAGTGGGCGGTAGGTATAAAAAAGTTGACTACCTCTGCACTAAACCAAAGTGGCTCATGTATGGAGGGAGAGAGTAGGATAAATTATTTAACTATACCAAACAGGACTCACTGGGGAAGAGCCTAATCCTGGGGAAAATTGAGGGCAAAAGAAGAAGGGGACGACAGAGAATGAGGTGGCTGGCTGGAGTCACCGAAACAGTAGGCTTAAATGGACTACAAAGGATGGTAGAGGACAGGAAGGCCAGGAGGAAGTTGTCCATGGAATCATGATGGGTCGGACACGACTTCGCAACTAACAACATCATACCAAATGGAATCAGCCACCACTGGAATTCTTTGTTCAGGAGAAGCTGGGATTTTTAGAATAATGTTCTACCCTAATACAGACTACTCCAATCAAAATGAAATTTCATATGAGAATCACACCTCTGCCATTCCCTCCCCTCCCCCCCCACCTCAACCCAAACCTTAGGAAGAATTTCCATCAAGATTTAAGTGCAGTATTTATTCCTCACAAATACAATTTTAAAGTTAATTCACTTGATTTATAATTCAGGAAGATTTATAACAACTTCATTACTATGTAGATGAGTATTACAGTTATCTACCTCCTGAAAATCTTCTAGTCTCAGAAACCAATGTCAGGCAAGTAGCCATATTTGATGTTTGAATGACATTCAGATGCCTATACTCTTAAAAGTTGAGTAGGACAGAACAAAGAAAAAAACCTAAATTTAACTTTAGTTCAAGAACTGCTAATTTGATTATCCTCATTTAACAATTGTTCTATTCTGTTGTATTAAAAAGCAAAATTCATTAGCAACTTTGGAAAAATTCTGAGGATTGCTTAAGGCCCCCAAATCACTGCAAAACCAATAGTGGTCAGCCAGAGTCCTCAGATATAGGCAAGAAATTAAAGTATTTCTCACTCTCTGTTCTGCACTTGCACCTTTAATCCATCGACTATGCTAGCTGCAGTTTTAGAGTTTGCATACTAATACATCTAAAGACCACAATTTCTCCCCAAATTGGTTTAAATTTTCTAACCTACCTCCAAATAGACAATTATGTTTGTGAAACTTTGAGAATAGTCCCACAGTTATAGGTGCAGTCTATTTTTCAAAGAAAAGGATGTTTCAAGGAACAAACCTGTCAGGCTTCATTATATTATATTGTATAGCGCCTTACTGACATAGTATTGGTTTCACAAAGGATGAGCAATCAGCAAATCCATCTTATGGCTAAGCATGTTGTGAGAGACTATAATTAGGTCAATTTCTATTTTGATTTTCAAATAGAATGCATGAATTCTTTTCTGAATATGTTCTAGCCTCCCATCACAGCATTTCATGAGAACCATTTCATCAAACCTCAATTATATCTATAAATTAATATTCCTATTAATTTATACCAGAGATTCAAATTCAACTCATCTGATTTCCCACATTTTTCACATAAGTGTAAGAAAGTTACACTGCATCAGACTGTAAATTTTAAACTTTAGCCATGCTAAATGCTTAACTTGAATTTCCTCTAAATATCTCTGCACATCTTTAACTTTTAGTAGCACATGAAAGTATGTTAGTAGCTAAACTTTGAAAAGATGGATTTGTCTACTAACAAAGAACCATTGGTCCTATTTTTTTAAAAATATAACTATCTGCAGTTACATAATTATGATGATGATGATGATGATGATGATGATGATGATGATATTCATTCAATTGTATCTGATTCTTGGTGAGTCTATGGGCCAGGTCTTTCCACGTCTGAAAAAATAACTTCACACACATTCCTCGCATTTACAACCTTTGCAAGTTTGTAAAGCAAAGGAAAGCTGAAGATCATAAGCACCTTCACCTTTCATTTAGTGACTGCTTTGCTGAACAACTGAGTTATCAACCTCAATTATGGCCCCTAAATGAGGACTAACAGTAATAGTAACAGAGTTGGAAGGAATCTTGGAGGTCATCTAGTCCTATCCCTGCTCATTCAGAAGACTACTTATAGATCTGTTTTCTTTTGTAAGAAATGAAGTGATAATGCCCAGTTAGGATATATGGAAAGCAGGCCTTCCATTTCCTCAACAGAATCTCCTGTTTGGATTATTTTGTCTGAATGAAACAGTGAGCGTTTAAACTGAAACCTGGCGCTAGTTCTAGGCCCCCAGCCCTCTAAGCTGCCTCAAAAGTGCAATGGGGAAACTACATTATAGTACTGGGTGGAACTGAAGCCAAAAATAACATAGTCCACATGTGAGACTAAGGTTACAATTTCTACACGCCTAGGCTTGAATGCAACAAATATATATACTCCAGCAAGAAGGCCTCACATATTGAAATATGTAGCTAAATAATTTAAAACTATTTAGTCTTTATTTTACCTTACAAAGTTGGTTTTATTTTATTTGGACATAGGAGCCAAAATCCAAACTTCCAATTTGTTGAAAGGAAATGTATACACAGTTCCACCCTGAATGATTCAGTGAAAGATTTTGGGAGGATTAGAATTATGCAACAGCGTCCTTGTAAAATTACTTCAGAGAGATACCATTTTATCTTCAGGCCAAAATATAAGATAATACATCAACTTAATGCCAACTTTAAAAAGCACAAATAGTCCAGTTCATTCTAGCACATTAATCACATCAATCCAAAACCTTATCTGTAATTACCGTCAAAGAAGAT